TTCAGGCCATCTGTGGATCTCCTTCTGTTTTATTCACCAGAGAAGAATATCTGCCTATTTCAGGGGTCGGCAGCAGGTCGCTCCAGAGCCACATGTGGCTCTTTTACTGCCCTGTTGCTCCACAGCTGAATCAGCTTAGTAGGTAAAAATAAAATAATCCTTCTTTACAGTAAAATAAAGCTCTGCTGATCGTTCAACACAGTTTAACAATAAATGGTCTTAAACTCTGGAGTTAATGTAGAACTGCTGATTCACCCTTTAACCCTGAAGATCAGCGCAGACTGCTGGTCACCATAGCAACACACATAACAGTCTCGCCTAGCTAGTAGCTAACGAAACGGCAAAGAGAGAGATATAAGACGAACATCGATAATTTGGAGATGAATGGACTTATTTGTGTTTATAATCACTCCAGCTGGTTTCCTGATACGTTTAATCTGCAGTGAGAAACTGAAACACTAAAAAGTCACGAGGCTGAAGTCAGTTTCTCATTCAGCAGCTTCTCGTTTGAATTTTCCCGTTCCACCTTAAATGGTGCAGCAGTTACATTCTGGAACCTCAGGCACTATTTAAGGTGGAATGGGAAAGTTTGAACGAGAAGCTGGCGAATGAGAAGCGACTTCAAACATTGAGAGACATTTTACAAGAAACTGTTCTACTTTGAAGGAAAAGTTTCCTCCTGGAGATGTGAGAAAAGCAGCTATAGCTGAGCTAAAGCTTAAAGCAGAGCGAAGTAAATCAGTGTTTTTGTTTATATTATATTTTTTTAGCCTGTACTAGCTCATCAGCACATCATGAGATATATGGACATATAATGTTGTGGCCCCCAAGGTGGTTTGAATTTTATTTAAAGGACAAAATGGCTCTTCTTGACATTTAGGTTGCGACCCCTGGCCTTTTAAAATCACTATTACCATAGGTGTAGGTTTAGGGGGTCCAGGGGGTCCCTGCCATCCCAGTGTTTAAAGGGGATTGTAAAATCCCAAATGCATATGCAGTGTTTGGAATGAAAGTGTTCAATTACACATGACTCACTGTTAAAGCAGTCACCTCTTACTTTCAATGTGGCACTTCCTGTTATTTAATTAGGCAACTGATTCAACATAACATTCAACATTAAATGCCAGTTTGGTCAATTAAAGAGCAAATAATCATGTTTATGTTGTTTGTTTGGCTACTAAAGCATACAATATAAACCTTTTTGCTCTGCTTTTTCACCATGAATGTGGCCTGTTCTGGCACAGTTTATATTTTATTTTTTTCCTAAATGTTAAACTCAGCAGAAAAGAAAAGAAATAAAAAAGTGGAAAATGTGCATTCAAATTTTCAGAAAAAAATCAGATTGTTGTGTGTAATTTATTTACTTACACAACATTTTAATAGGGACGCACAAACTGTTGTTATTATTATTATTATTATTATTATTATTATTATTATTATTATTATTATTCAACTTCAGTAAAGTTATGAAAATTCAGGTTAGTGGAACACAGGTTTGGTTCCTGACTTCTTGCTGTGTTCCAGCCATCATACTGATTTATTAAACTTCATCACCTGATTTAATTTAATGAAGTATTGATTAGACACAACAGGTGTTGGATGGTAACTGTAAATACTGACATTATTCATGGAGAGAGCAAGAAGTGATTAAACACAAATATTATCCATTAGCATAAACAAAATCAGTACTAATTGCATATTATTTGTATTTATTGTAGTATTTGAATGTGATTTCAAATATTTAATAAGCTATTTATGTGGGCAGTAAGTGCTTATTTGACCATAGATAGATAGATAGATGGACAGACAGATAGCTAAACACTCTGTAAATCTTACTCTTACCAGTTTCAGGGGGTCACTGCCACTATAACAGGTTCTGTGGCATTTTTACCATTATACTAAATTTAGCTCTTGGACATGAATGTTAAAGCAGGAGGAGTCAAACAGTTTAGAAGGGTTTTAACACCCTCTAGTGGTAAAGAGGAGGAACTACAATCCTGGAAGCATTCTAGATTAGTGAAGTCCATTAGAACAGGATTCTCAACCAGTGGGCTGTGAAGCACCCTCTAGTGGCCCATGGGCCTGTACTCAGAAGGACGGCAGTAGTTCATACTGGGCCAGTAAGGTCACAAAAAAGATTAACTTCATAATTAAAAATCTAATAATTAAACATTTTCAAATATATATCCACCGAATCAGGCATAACATTCTGACCACCTCCTTGTTTCTACACTCATCGTCCATTTTATCAGCTCCACTTACTATATAGGTGCACTTTGTAGTTCTACAGTTACAGACTGTAGTCCATCTGTTTCTCTGATACTTTGTTAGCCCCCTTTTACCCTGTTCTTCAGTGGTCAGGACCCCCATGGACCCTCACAGAGCAGGTACTATTTGGGTGGTGGATCATTCTCAGCACTGCAGTAACACTGACGTAGTGGTGGTGTGTTAGTGTGTGTTGTGCTGGTCTGAGTGGATCAGACACAGCAGTGCTGCTGGAGTTTTTAAACACCTCAGTGTCACTGCTGGACTGAGAATAGTCCACCAACCAAAAATATCCAGCCAACAGCGTCCTGTGGGCAGCATCTTGTGACCACTGATGAAGGACTAGAGGATGACCAACACAAACTGTGCAGCAGCAGATGAGCTATCGTCTCTGACTTGATCCGCTTCAAGCAAACCCTGTTCAGTTCACTGCTGATGGAAATGTCATCAAACGAGCATCAATAGAGCTGGACCTCCTTCTCTTCTAGCAGCACTTTCAGCACCGTACAGTCAGGATAATCTGCCTGTTTCAGCGTCTGACTCTCTACAGACTCTCAGTGCTCTCATGTCGTTCCTGCAGCTCCAGCTGCATCTGATAAAAACGACAGACGAGCCTAAACAGGCTTTCAGCACAGTTCAAACACTTTCAGCTTTTAATGCACTGAAAATGTGCTGACATGAAGGAGGAGCTGTAGATTAACGTGATGTGTGTCATATATCCATTAAATGATGTATGAGGAACAAAATGGACACAATAAATGCACAGCATGTCACTGACCCTAAAGCTAAAATCATGGATGACCGCAAATGTACAGTAAGATAAAGAAAAGACAAATCGGTCAACCTTTATTTAAAAACAGGATGCATTGAGGGAGATCTTCATTTACAGTATAGCCTAGCCAATTCAGAAATCAGGGAGAATCGATACAGAAATCAGGGAGAATCAATTCAGAAATCAGGGAGAATCAATTCAGAAATCAGGGAGAGTCAATTCAGAAATCAGGGAGAATCGATGCAGAAATCAGGGAGAATCAATGCAGAAATCTGGGAGAATCGATACAGAAATCAGGGAGAATCGATACAGAAATCTGGGAGAATCGATGCAGAAATCAGGGAGAATCGATGCAGAAATCAGGGAGAATCAATTCAGAAATCAGGGAGAATCGATACAGAAATCTGGGAGAATCGATACAGAAATCAGGGAGAATCGATGCAGAAATCTGGGAGAATCGATACAAAAATCTGGGAGAATCGATACAGAAATCAGGGAGAATCAATTCAGAAATCAGGGAGAATCAATTCAGAAATCAGGGAGAATAGATGCAGAAATCAGGGAGAATCGATACAGAAATCAGGGAGAATCAATGCAGAAATCTGGGAGAATCGATACAAAAATCAGGGAGAATCGATACAGAAATCAGGGAGAATCGATGCAGAAATCAGGGAGAATCGATGCAGAAATCAGGGAGAATCAATTCAGAAATCAGGGAGAATCGATACAGAAATCTGGGAGAATCGATACAGAAATCAGGGAGAATCGATACAAAAATCTGGGAGAATCGATACAGAAATCAGGGAGAATCAATTCAGAAATTAGGGAGAATCAATTCAGAAATCAGGGAGAATCGATGCAGAAATCAGGGAGAATCAATACAGAAATCTGGGAGAATCGATACAAAAATCAGGGAGAATCGATACAGAAATCAGGGAGAATCGATGCAGAAATCAGGGAGAATCGATACAGAAATCTGGGAGAATCAATACAGAAATCTGGATTCATGGAGATTGGATGGTGAAAACATATCAAATGCTAAAATAATAATAATAATCATAGAAATAAACTGACTAATCAATAAATAGTTTAAATCGTAACAGTGTAGTGACTTAAAAAATACCAGATCAAATAAGCTTAAAGCTAAAATTATGAATAACCACAAACAATACGGAGCCCTGCTGGTGACATCCTGTATAGATGAAAACAATGGGTCCCCACGACTTTAGATTCTCATTCCCACACCTTACTAAGTCGTGGCCACGCATTAGGATCTCATTTCCATGCCTTCCTAAGTCATGGTCACAACTTAATTATCTTATTCCCACACCTTACCAGGTCATGGCCACACATTAGAATCTCATTCCCACGCCTTGCTAAGTCATGGTCATGACCTAATTATCTTGTTCCCACATGTTACTAAGTCATGGCCACGCATTATTTTCGTTTATACCGGATGTCACCAGCAGAGCTCCGTAAAACCACACAGTGGGATAAAGAAAAGAAAGCAGGAGGAAACCGGAGCTGTGTTGCTGCTGAAGAAGCTGATATCTACTGTGAAAATACAAAAGCTAACGTTAGCGGCTGGCGCTATAACAGGAACCAGCACTGAGAGCAGTTTGAGGTGTATTCTGAGTGTACACTGCACTTCTCTCCTCTAACGGCACTTTATTACCCCAATTTAATCTCTTATTATTTAATAAGCTTTTATTTCTCATTATCTGATTTCTAATCTGATTTTTAATTGAATTTTTAATTTGATTCTCTTTCAAATCGATTGTCTTGATCATGATTTAATCACGATAATTTGTTTTCTTTTACTTACTTTTCGAATTTTCTCATCTGTAAACGCGTCTTGAGCCTTAACAGTGTAAACCGCTGACTCAAACCGCCAAAGAGTTAACATAGTGCCATAAAATGATTAGCAGTGAGCAGGAGAGGCGCCGAACGGTAGAACATTCCCTAAAACCGCGACATCTAGCTACTAATGATCTGTTCAGCAGGTCCATGTTTGATATAACCTGAGTCCTGATTTCTTAGATGCACTGAATTCTGAATGAATAAAGTGGATTTCTTTTTTACTCAGTTTGACATTATGGTCACTGACTGCATCACCGGTCAGTCAGGGTTTGCTGCAGTGGCCCTAAATCCTTACACTCTGCAAGCTGCTCACGGCACTTACCAGTGTTACATCTGATTCAGTTCCCACTCAAACTCACGTTCCCCTTTATAAATCGAACCATCGGGCGCGACTCACTGAACAGAAATCAGCACAGAGCAGCACTGGAACTACGGAAAGCGGGAAAAGTCAGAGAAAGGCTGTACGGACGAAAGGTTGACACAATCAGACATTTAACGTTGACCTTTCCTGAACTGTTTCGCTTTCCGTAGTGTTGCCGTTGATGTCTGTTCAGTGAGTCGAGCCTGAGGGTCTGAGTTGTGAAGGGAAACGTGAATCGGATGCAACACTGGCAGCTTTATGGAGACTCGAAAGAATCCTCACTTAATCAGTCCAACACCTTTATTACAGACTGAGCTCAGATTAACTGGGTTATGTGCAGCTGGTACAGGCAGCTGGCAGATCGCAGCCCTGTGAGGAGGTGCTGGGGGTGTTTAGCTCAGCGCAGTAACATCAGGGGGCGGTAACGTTGTTTGACTGATTTGCATACTGTGACGTGCCATCATACTTCGGTACGTACATCATACTTCTATAGCAGAGTTGAACCAGAGGGGGCGCAGCAGAGGCGGAACTGAGCATGATAACGATGATATTTTTACAGTTTGGAAAGATGTGATTCACAATTTAAGCAAAACTGGTGTATATTATTATTACAGAGCAGAGCATTTCAGCTGGTAACGAAAAAAGGGTCTAAGGGTGGAGCTACTCTCTAAGAGTCAGATAAAAAGTCAAACGGAAATGAACACAGGCGCCACCTGCTGGCGATTAACTTTTCATTTCCCACTTTGCTTTTTTTCAATGTAACCAACATGCAAATATATGTTAATTGGCACTAGGCAGGGCTACGGACTACATTTTAGGACGTCCTCAGACCTCAGAGTCAGAATGGCATCATTCCTCAGACTAAACAACTTTGAGTCTCGAGAAAAAACATCGTCATGTCTCAGAACATCAGACCAAACACCGTCAGACCAAACGGCCTCGAAAAAAGGTAACACTAAACCACCAAAACAATACAACACAATAAACAAACAAAACATTACACAAAAGAACTATTAATTATAGTTACAGATTAAAGATTAAAAAGATTTTTTTAAAAAATCTCATCAAAACTGTGTATTAAGAGAGAAATATATTATTGTATGCAAAAGTTTGGGCACTCGTAAAAATGACATGTATGTGTTGTTTTTCTGAGTGTAAATGAGTTACACATCCCCTACAGAGACACACTACTGCACACTTTAATGCATTATTACTGTTTATTTACTGAATTTAACACGTTGGAAAAGTAAAATAAAAAAAAAAAACGGCCTGTGCAAAAGTTATGGCACACTTTACATTTCCTGTTTTATTTTTGCCAACATGTTAAAAACAGCAAGAAAACAGAAATTGTGCACTAAAATGTGCAAAATATGCTGCATTTAGATGTGTCTCTGTAGAGGATGTGTTCATTTATTAATACTCAGAAAAGCAGCAAAATCTGTCATGTGAGCAGGGTGTTCAAACCTTCACATACGACAGTGTATAAGTAAGTATATATATATATATATATATATATATATATATATACATACATACATAAAATACTCTGATCTGTAGTGAGATTCATTACTACTTCTCATAAACAGTGACAGGGTCAGTCCGTGCGTTTGTTTGTTTGTTTGTTTGTTTGTTTGTTTGTCCTTCATATGTTGTGGAGGTCACTGTGTTCTGCTTCCAAGTTCCAAAACCTGCACTGATGTCCATCCTGTTGAGTGAAAACATAAATAAAATCAGTTCTGATCCCACAGAAGCAGAAGGTCAGCACGTTTCACAGAGCTGGCCTTCTCTGTACAGGTGTGTCTCTCAGAGTGAGTGAAAGACGAGGAGAGGGTCAGTCTGACCTGTCAGTTTTCTCTTATAGTAGACGAGGCCTGTCAGGGCTGTGACTCCTCCCAGTAACAGAGCTGCAGTTCCCACTGCTATTCTGTCTCTGTCAGACTCAGAGAGAGACGGCTCTGTTACACACACACACACACACACACACACACACACAGAGACACACACACACACACACACACACACACAGAGACACACACACACACACACACACACACACACAGAGAGACACACAACACACATTACAATAGAAGTAGAACACAGAGTTAATGTTCAGTCAGGAATAAAGGGAGAAAATCCAAACTGAACATTAGAATCTGTCTGTCTGTCTACCTGTCTCTCTGTCTGTCTATCGACCTGCCTGCCTGTCTGTCTATCTACAGTTCTTTCTTTATATCTATCTGTCTGTCTGTCTACCTGTCTGTATGTCAGTCTGTCTGTCTGTCTGCATTTATGTTTTTGTGTCTGTCTCTTTCTCTCTCTCTCTATCCATCTATTGGTCTTTCTGTCTATCTGTCTGTGTACCTGTCTGTCTGTCTGTCAGTCTGTCTATCTGTCTGCATGTATCCTATCCATCTGGCTATCTGTGTCTATCTCTGTCTGTATCTATTTTTCTATCTATCTGTTCATTTATCTATCAGTCTATCTAATTATCCGTCAATCTAATTAACGAGCTCCTCGTTAGCTGGTCAGTTGTGTGTGTCATTGGTTCCCAGTCCTGGTCCTGTAGAACCTCCTGTCCTGCCCTTTTGACTGTGTTCCTAACTCACCTGATCCAACTAATCAGTGAGTTATCGAGTCCTTCCTGAGCTGAAGTGGGTGTGTTAGAGCAGAACTCTAACACGGACAGGACAGGCGGTTCTCCAGGACCAGGGATGGGAACCTGTGTTCCAGTGCATCACTCCAGAGAACCTGTCTGGTACCTTTATTTTAAAGAGTGTAGATGTTGTACACTCACTGTCACTGTGGCTCCAGTGGAACAGGGCGGGTTCCCTGAAGCTGAGATGTTCCACCATGCAGGAGATGTTCTCTGCAGGTTCTGGAGTGAACTCCAGCTGGGAGTGGATTTGGTAATGCCAGTCTCCATCGGTCAGCTCCTCTGTGGAGACCACGTCAGTGGTCACTTTCTCACCGTCCCTCAGCCAGGTCAGTGTGATGGGTTTGGGGTAAAAGTCATACGCGCTGCACATCAGCACGGCCGGCTGGTCTCCGCTGGCTGGCCTCAGTGACCTCAGCATGACCCTTGGCCTCACTGTGACAGGAGAGAGAGATTAAACCATGTGAGTCTCACCAGAATTTACCTGGATATTAACTTCAAAGTAATGTGTTTAGCTAGGCTAATGTGTTAACAGCGAGTCATACAGTGTTAGAAATAATGAAGTCTATTAGTGAAACCGAACATCTCCACATGGTTAGCACTATGCTAATGATGTTAATCAGGCTTTTATCACTTTTATTAGCCGCGTAGCTCTAGTAGCTCTAGTAGCTCTAGTAGAACAGGTTTATGGGGAGTCTGGCCTCTTCCTATTTCCCTTGTTATATCAAAAACAGGACTGCTAAACAGCAGAGGGCGCCCACGAGTGAAACCTCAATGAATGGGAGTGAATGGAGCTCAACGGCTCGACGAAAAGTTAAAATAGTTTCTAATCACTGAACCAGAACTTTCCTTTAGTTTTAGACAGTAGAAGGATGAGTTTCACTAAAAAACAAAGAAATCTCACCTGTATGTTTTCTTTTTCTACAGTAAACGGGTTTTGGGCAGCAGGACTCTAACATTACTGATACCATAGACATCTACCTACATGCCTAGATGCCGCGTTGTCTGTTGTTCTCTATCTGAGGCGATACGTCTGCGCGTCCGCCATGTTGGAGAGGTCAAGATCCGCTTGTGAACAAATTCACTTGTATTGAGAGACGAAGAGTCTCAGGATTAATCAGGATAAATCTGTTTTGTTATAATCCTCAGACACAGATTAATCCAGGCTGCACGGATCTGCTCTCGGTAGCTTTTATTACTTTAATAACTGATCGTGATAATTAGCCGTCCAGACCAGCAGGAAAGTATTCAGCCTCAGCTGACATGAGTTTAGCGCCAGAAACACAATCAGCAAATCCATCAATGTGTGAATCACTTATAATCTTTATACACAGAAGGACGAAGCGATGTTGGCTTCCTGTTCACCAGCTTCTTGTTCGGGTTTTCCCGTTTGTCCTTAAATGGTGCAGCAGTTACTGCACCATTTAAGATGGAACTGGAAAATAGGAAGCTACCTCCAGCTTTGTGTAAAAAGGTGGTAATGTTACTCTATGAATATCTACAAGGATTAAGGAATCACTGTAAAGTAATAGCTACTACATAGAGATAGAATCCCCTGAATAGACTATTAAATGAAATAAGCTTAATATAAAACAAGAGGAACAACAATCACATCAACAGGTTCTCTGTGCCTCATTAACCACACGGCCATATCTACACAAACACCACACAGACAATACGCATCACACAAACATGAGTGTGGATCACTGCGTTCCCTCCGTTATATAATCCTTGACGTGCCTGGCTGGACCCAACGCGACATCTAGGTATGTATATCTATGACTGCTACTGAGTGCTGATTGGTTGCCGAGCAAAGCAGCTCATTGGCTATTCGCGCTCACTGACCACATGAACGTACATGAGGCGCTGTTTTACACTCCTATAACTCGAGTTTAAAAGCTCTTAAATCATAACAGCAGTGTTGAAATGTTTTATGCTGTTCTGTGTTCAGAAAATTAATGAATTCTTTTACATTTAAAATGTTTCAGCATTTCTAAACTATGCTTTTGCTCAAAGGCTCCATATTAACTCGCTCGGGAGCGCCCTCTAGAGTCTGAGAAACCTGGACATTAGGGAGTGGTAATTCTTCTCTCTACAAGTTCTCTGGCTTCAGTGCTAATTCAGACTTCAGATGGCAAACATGTCGTGGATTAGCTGTGTTTGAGGAAATGGGATGGGAAACGGTGTAAATTAGAATTTTTATTGATGTATTTGTTCTGCTGTACTGATGTAAACAGTGTAAAGCGAAACAGTGTTTATTTCTCACCTGCTTTGTCCACTACAGACATCTTCCGCCTGAACATTCTACACTTTGAGAGAGCCTTTTCGACCTCCATGCGGATCAAGTGCGTTTTGTTTTTGAGCTCTTTTGCCCATTTTGCTCCATGTTCACTGTAAAAAACAACTTTATTCTCAGTGCTGTTGTACATCAGGACCTTTTCCTTGTTGTACACGAAGGATACAGCAAACTCAACGTCTTGGGGCGAGCCGAGGGTCCGGCACTCAAATGAAAAGAAGAAGTAATAACTGTCCACTGCAAAAGAAGAGAAATCCATATTAATGGACTCATATAAGGAAGGGATGCACAATCACAGTCAGCTGAGATTTCTGCTCAAAACCCAAAACAAATCTGTAGGTTTTTGCTCAAATGATGAGCACTTTCAAAACAGTTTCCTTTTATGATCTGTTGTTGGCAGTGGGCTTAACACATACAAGTAGTCTCAATGCGATATTATGATTAATACCACCTTAATTAGCAAAATTAAAAAGGACTTTCTACTAAAAATCAGCCGTGTTTATTTTCAAAAACGAATGTACAGTAATTTGCAATGAAACCACTTCTCATCACTTACTGTTGATGTAGTGCTTTATATCATTCTTGTTTTTCAAACAGGAAACTGCTTTAAAATTCAAGAATTTAAATGGAGGTTTGGCCCAATAAAGAGCAGAATGTTGTTTATGTTATAGGTATGGCGAATAATAAATACTGGAAATGTGCCAGTTTGCTTCAGGTGTTGATTTGCCTCGCACAACGTGAGCTCTGAAATTGGTACCGGCAATAAAGAAAAAAATCTGTGCATCCCTAATATACTATTAATATTTATTTATTGCCCAATATGTAAAACTCGGCTAATAAACAGAAATTGTGCACTAATATTTTACAAAAAAAATATAATATGTAAGTGTGTTCTCCATAGGGGACGTGTTCACTTATTTTCATTTAACAAAAATCAACAACACGTCATTTGACCAGGCACATTCAAACCTATTAGTGGTTCTATAATAATAAGAAGAAGAAGAAGAGGAAGAAGAAGAAAAAGAAAAGAAGAATGTAATTATTATTATTATTAGTAGTAGTAGTAGTAGTAATAGTATTAATAGTAGTAGTATTGGTAGTAGTAGTATTACTATTATTATTATTAGTAGTAGTAGTAGTAGGAGTAGAAGTAGATTAGTACTAGTAGTATACATTTTATATAAAGTATAAAGTTCAGTATCAGTGTCAAGTAAGGAATATGTAGGTCAGAGGAGCTCAGCACTCCTGCAGTTGCATGGATTTCTCAATTCTATTAGCAGCAGGTATTGGATGGTACCTATAAATACAGGAGAGGTTTGGAGAGTTAACCCAACACATTAGCACACATTAAATCACTACTCTTGTACACTCCTGTGCAAATAAAATGGGCCAAAATCGGCAAAACATTAAACTTCTGAACAACAAATCATGAACTATACAGCTGCAGTCAGTCAGTGTGGAGAGTTTTTCACTCTGGCTTCTCTAAGTGTTGGAGTTTAGTGTGTGAATGTCCAGACAGTCTTCTACAGAAAGGACAGTCAGTATTGATCCACTCAGCACTGACGGCTTCAAACAGCTGAAAAACACTGCTGAGCTAGTTTGTGTTTAGTGTGAGATCAAATATTCTCTACAGGGTTTAAATCTGGACTCTGACCAGCCAGAACCAGCAGTAACAAACATTATCTTTTAGGCTTGGTCCATTTTTTATATAAAACATAAATATATATAAAATATATATTCATTTTATTTATATAATTTTTATGATTAGATTTAAAAAGCTATTTAAGCGTTTAAATGGAGATGGATATAGATATAAAACACTCAAACGTACAGTAAATCTTACTCTTACCAGTTGCAGACAGAACCCAGAAGAACGCGGTCAGGCAGAGAACAGGAGGACGAGGCATTGTTGTGCGTTCTGCTCTCAGAGTGAATAAACTGATTCTAACACCGAACGACTGACTCTGCTTTCAGTACTCATCTGTTTGCAGAACCAGGAGGGAATTTACGCCGTGCAGTCAAACCTGTTCTCAGTTCCCTCTAACTCACTCAGACTGTTTCCCGCTGAGACAGCAGGGCGCCGTGGAACCCTCAACAATAGCTATTGTTCATTCATGCAATACCAGCAGTGGTTCTACTTCTCATTTATTCACCAAAGAAGAACATTTGCCTTTTTAAATCACACCTTCACCTACACTCTATAGGTGTAGATTAAGGGGTGCCGGGGGGGCACTGCTACCCCTGTGTTTGAAGGCGAGTGAATTGTTCTCTCCGGTAATTCCTGTGTGTTGTGATGGCTCTATGTTGTTACATTTTCCAGAAAATGTTGTTGTTTTATTGGAGTAATTTTTAAACAAATATGGTTTTCTTTATTATGTCACTGAAAACAGTGCTGACAATATTCAATATGAAGTGAAAGAAGAATGTTTACATAAAAATGGGCCCAAATTGCTACATATGATGAACAATTTCCCTTTAAAGTCTCCTATGAAGCATATAAAAAGTTTACTGGATCTGTTACATGTAAAAATGTAGTTCTTACCTGTCAAAGTTCAACTTTTCATTCCAACATATGAATTCAGTTTGAATGTTTAATGACTCGGACATGCAACAATTATTTAATAATTACTAATAACAACAACTTTTAGCCTTTCAGTTACTGCATTTACTAAAGAATTGTCCCTTTCATTTAAATGAACTGAATTCTTTTGAATTCTTGCTAACTGACTTTGCATATGCTAGAAGACGTGTCAGGCTCCAGTCCTCGCAGGCCAAAATTCTACAGACTTAAATACGCTGCCTCATTAAACACACCTGACTCAGCTCATTAGCTAATCATCAAAGCCTTAATGAACTGAATTCAGAGCGTCAGATGAGGGTAAACGCTGATCTCCACAGCACTTTGGCCCAGAAGGTCCCCAGTTTGAAAAGGCGATTCCTAGCAGTAAAGGTTCTGAAATTTTGAATGTTTCATATCTACGTGAACTTGTTCTCATCGACCTTCTCATGTCAGCAAACTGTAACTCTGCATTTCATAAACACTCTGTGGAAGGTGGACCAGGACAGCAGCGTTTTTGAGATTTGAATTGATGAAAAATGTTGCTTTTGTTCATCTGAAACATATTGTTTCACTTTGCTGCAATCAAAGTATTTATTTACTTCCTCTTAAATTTTTCAGATTGAACTGATGAAACATTTTTACAGTGTTTGAGTGGAACAGTCAGCAATTATTCTGTCAATTATGCTGGAATAGCTGATAATTATCATAACTGGTGTACCTGCCATTACACTTTTTGACCACTAGGGTGGAATGTACACGCACTCCCACACGCAAGAAAAAATGATAAATGACTTGCAAAACTGTACATATGCACATGTGATAAATGTAATGATAAATGAGACACATACATATCACATCACTGCAGTTGGAACAAAAACCTTGTATCTAAAATTGTAACTACAGGAGAAGCAAAAAACATACTTAACTTTTAATGTAAGTCAATGGAATCAGAATTTTGGGTCGTTTCTTTTGGTCCATTCATCATGAAATTTACACACAATGTAAAAGACAACAGGCATTTTCACACTGTCAAAAACTGAAAAACAACAAAAATGGAAATATTAGGTCTTGTTCTGACAGCAGCGATATTCTATATGATCACATGCACTTTATTTTCATAAAGTCATGTGTTTATTTGACGTATCTACTTTGTACTTTCATCCACAAGGGAAGGAACTTAGCTTCAGAGCTAGTTAGGGGAATTATTTACTTCCCTCTAAAAACAGCGTTGGCCATTAAGCGCCACATGACCCCCCCTCATTTATCACGACATAAAACAGAATCATTTTAAAATGGAATCATATTAAAGTCAAAGCCACAGCTAGATGACGAAGAATGCGACAATGCCTGCTTTAGTTTTGGTCCAGCTCGTGATCGGCACAGAAGAAGGAAGAAAAGCCACAAAAAAAGAAGTCTAATAGTACCACAGATACAACAGCATCGCTGTGGGAGAGTTTAAAGAACTTCCCAACTGTGAGACTCACTGTGTTGTTATTCTGACATGGAGGCTCTGTTAGTCCTGGCGTTAATGATGGTCTGTGCTGTCCACTCACAGCCGGCGGGTGAGTACAACATATCAGAGCACTGTAGTCTGCAGGATGTCACAGGTTACCTTTAGTATGAATACTGATATGCATTATCATTTCATTTGATCAGAATAATTTGTTGTTTACATTGGTAACGTGCTAAAAACAGTTCAGTGAAAGTGACTGAAGACCAAGCAAAGTAGACCAGAATAGATTCAGAGACACGGGAACATGTTCTACGCTGGGGTTGCTGAAATTTTAAGCAGCTGACGTGAAAGATGACGTCTTTCCAAATAATTGGTGTTTTTATTCAATTTTTTGTTTGCTAGTATTATGGGGCAAGAGATGGGAATATATACATATAACTGTTACGGGACGGCATGGAGGCGGACCCAAGTGCACAGAGGAACTTAAATGAACATATTGAGGTGATGGAGTGTGAATGGAGTGATTTTGCACGTTGGGGTTTGCGGTGGCTCAGAGCCTGGCTCGAACAACCAATATACTGATTGGTGTTCTGAGGAGCTACTGCTGTGCTGGGAAGCACAGGCAAAAATGGAACAAAACACTTCAACAACTGGGAATTAAAAAATGGTGGGAAAGGGCAAACAAGGGGGACGCTGAAAGCAGTGCTGAAACAAAGGCTGAGATAGAAAAAGTGAAATAGAGATAACCAGAAAACAAAAGACACTTTATTTTATTTTTTTTTCCACATCCTTGAGCAAAGCTGCTGTAAGTTAGTATTCAAATCCATTAAATATATTTGAGTCTGATGGATTTCTTAAAGACAAAGACCTATGAAACAAAGCAAGTCTATGGGGAACACTTCCTCAGAGTATGTGGCTTCAGTATCGCACCCTCTATCTGCAATATATAAGGTATCAGTCAATTTAATGTGGCAATGAATTTAAGGTATCAGTAAATTTAAGGTGGCAATGAATTTAATTATGTATGTATGGTTTTGTCTGGCAGATCACTATAAACATGTGCACTTGTAACCTGTAAGTTGATAGAAAAAGAGTTTTGTATGCCAGCATTGGCAGCAGATGAGGAGAATACAAAGTTAAACCAGACAGGAGTTTAAACTCAAACACATCAACAGCTGAACAGAGGAACTTCCAGTCATGGAATGGAGCAAAATCAGAGCGATCATGGAGCGAGAGAACCCCACTGCTGCAGATTTCTACAGGCCTTTATACATTAATGGATTAAAAACTGTTTGAGTCTGTAACTGTCACTGTAAACTCACTGTATCCTCAGATTACTGTTCATGTCTGACATTCAGTGAAACGGGACAGGGCACATTTATAATTTGCAAAATCCTGCACATTGGTAGATCTTTGCATTTTCAATGATTATTAAGATTCTTGGACATAATTTATTTTGTCATTTTTGTGGACATATCAGTATTTGATATTCAGTCAAACAGTATTTATAGACAAAATAGACTTTCTGAAATTAACTGAGATGTCAGTCATTTTTGCCTGTTGAAAAAGTAAGTGCACTCCTCTCTTCAGTGACTTAACAGAAACAACTGTATGCAGACATTTCCTATAAGCAGCTAATGTTCTGACATCAACTGGGAGAAATGTTTGCCCGCTTAATTTTTTCAACTGTGCAATGTTTGAGGGGTTTCTTCAGCCCATTCAGGCTTTGACTGGGCCATTCCATAACCCTGCAATTTCTGCCATTCCTTCATGGATTTACTTGTATGTTTGGGATCATTATCATGTTGGAAAGTCCACTTCATCTTCTACCTTTTGTACAAATGGTCTCACATTTTCCTTAACCTCTCTGGTATAAGATAATTCATAGTTGATTCTATTACTGTAAGTTGGCCAGCGATGCAGCCCTAAGCCATAAAACTTCCACCTCCCTGCTTTACAGCTGGTATGAGGTTCTTCTGACAGAAGCCTGTCTTTGGTTTTCACCAAAAATGGCCAAAATAAAATTTAGAGTACTGTTAAAGTTAAATTGTATTTACTTTGTATACCTGTGAAAAATGAGGGGTACATTCATCATGAATCGTTGAAGCATTCTCAGAGACTTCTCTGTGCATCTTATGGTCTTGGTCTGAAGTTGCTGGGCGGACTGGCCTGGGCAAGTTGGCAGTGGTTTTATATGTTCTTCACTTGTAGACTTCCAGACAGTGGAAGGATTGATTTCTAATATTTTGGATATTTTCAATAAAACAGGTTCCTCCAAGATGATAATGGTGTTCTAATTAGCACCTGATCAGGTGCACCTGATATCAATTTGACATGTTTGAATTACTGATATATGTAGGAGTGTGCTTACTTTTTCCACATAAGAAGAATTGCTTTTCTGTTTACTTCAATTACATAAAGGATGGCAAAATATTAATTCTAGGTGTTATTTGTTAAATTATGTCATCTTTATCTATCAACACTGTTTAAATGAAGGTCATAGATGTGTATCTGATCTATGCCTATACTTTCACAAGGTGTACTTACTTCTTCACATGACTGCAGGTGATTTTTTTTGGGTTTGAATTAATGACTTTATGGGTACTTTCGAGGTTGGAGGTGTTGTGCATTCAAAGATATTTTTCTGATTATCACTGTTATAAAGAGGGATTATTGGAGCAGGTTTCCTTTCAGCATGAACAAGTCTAGCCATTCTCCACTGACCTCTCTCAGAACTCTCTAGATATTTTTTGTGTATCTTCAGAGTTTGTTATGTGTGAAAGTCCCAGATGATCAGCAGCTTCTGATATATTTAAATGTCATACCAACATCCAAACCATAGCCAATGTCACTTAGATCAACTTTTCCTCAATCTGATATTTGAGGTGAAGAATTAATAAAGCTAAACGAAGGCGAACACCAAATGACCATGAGCAACGTTTCTCAATAAAGTGGCCAGTGGCTGGACAGCAGTTTGATCCTTTTATTCTGCTTGCAGGTTTTGACAGATACGGCTGGATAATAGGATGCGATGAGACAAGCACTCGTGTATCTTTCTCATACAATGGAGAAATAGCTGAATACTTTGATTATGAAGAGAAACAAACTGTTATGACTTTGCCCGATTTTGCTGATCCTATCGTGATCGCAGACCTGTCTAAAGATGCTTACAGTGCACAAGAGTTTTGCAAGGACACATTGGCAGTGATAAATGATGCCTACATGAACCCACCTGAAGAGCTCGGTAAGCTTCGCTATTTCATCTCATGTTTAAACAAAAAATGTGACATAATAGAATTATTCATTATTATTCTCGATTGACTGAGAAATGCTGAAGCAAGACTCTTTTCCAGGGCTTTTGGAGAACCGTTTTTCAATTAAGCAAATCTGAATTACTCTGTAATTTCACATGGATCGACCCAGAACATATACACTACCTTACCAAAAGTATGTGGACACCCCTGAGTTCAGGTGTTTCAGCTGCACCCATTGCTAAGTGTATAAAATCAAGCTCATAGTCATACCGTCTCCACAGACAAACAGTGGTGGTAGAATGGGTCATACTGAAGAGCTCAGGTACTTTAAACTTGGCTCTGTGATAGGATGCCACCTCTGCCACATGTAAGTTTGTGAAATGTCTGCCCTGCTAGAGCTGTCCTAAACAACTGTAAGTTATCTTCGTGAAATATTTTTCCATGTCTGAGCAGCTGTACACAAGATCACCATGTGCAGTGCCAAGTGTCGGCTGGAGGGGTGTAAAGCGCCGCCACTGGACTCTGGAGCAGTGGAACCGTGTTCTCTGGAGTGATGAATCAGCTTCTCTATCTGTCAGCCTGATGATGAATCTGGGTTTGGTGGATGTCAGGAGAACGTTACCTACCGGAATGCAGTGCCAACAGTAGAGTTTGGTGGAGGAGTGATAAACAGTACAGTTTGGTGGAGGAGGGATAAACAGTACAGTTTGGTGGAGGAGTGATAAACAGTACAGTTTGGTGGAGGAGTGATAAACAGTAGAGTTTGGTGGAGGAGGGATAAACAGTAGAGTTTGGTGGAGGAGGGATAAACAGTAGAGTTTGGTGGATGAGTGATAAACAGTAGAGTTTGGTGGAGGAGTGATAAACAGTAGTGTTTGGTGGATGAGTGATAAACAGTAGAGTTTGGTGGAGGAGTGATAAACAGTAGAGTTTGGTGGATGAGTGATAAACAGTACAGTTTGGTGGAGGAGGGATAAACAGTACAGTTTGGTGGAGGAGTGATAAACAGTACAGTTTGGTGGAGGAGGGATAAACAGTACAGTTTGGTGGAGGAGTGATAAACAGTACAGTTTGGTGGAGGAGTGATAAACAGTACAGTTTGGTGGATGAGTGATAAACAGTAGAGTTTGGTGGAGGAGTGATAAACAGTAGAGTTTGGTGGATGAGTGATAAACAGTACAGTTTGGTGGAGGAGGGATAAACAGTACAGTTTGGTGGAGGAGTGATAAACAGTACAGTTTGGTGGAGGAGTGATAAACAGTACAGTTTGGTGGAGGAGGGATAAACAGTACAGTTTGGTGGAGGAGTGATAAACAGTACAGTTTGGTGGAGGAGTGATAAACAGTAGAGTTTGGTGGAGGAGTGATAAACAGTAGAGTTTGGTGGAGGAGGGATAAACAGTACAGTTTGGTGGAGGAGGGATAAACAGTACAGTTTGGTGGAGGAGTGATAAACAGTAGAGTTTGGTGGAGGAGTGATAAACAGTAGAGTTTGGTGGAGGAGTGATAAACAGTAGAGTTTGGTGGAGGAGTGATAAACAGTAGAGTTTGGTGGAGGAGGGATAAACAGTACAGTTTGGTGGAGGAGTGATAAACAGTACAGTTTGGTGGAGGAGTGATAAACAGTACAGTTTGGTGGATGAGTGATAAACAGTACAGTTTGGTGGAGGAGTGATAAACAGTACAGTTTGGTGGAGGAGTGATAAACAGTAGAGTTTGGTGGATGAGTGATAAACAGTAGAGTTTGGTGGAGGAGGGATAAACAGTACAGTTTGGTGGAGGAGTGATAAACAGTACAGTTTGGTGGAGGAGGGATAAACAGTACAGTTTGGTGGAGGAGTGATAAACAGTACAGTTTGGTGGAGGAGTGATAAACAGTACAGTTTGGTGGATGAGTGATAAACAGTAGAGTTTGGTGGAGGAGTGATAAACAGTAGAGTTTGGTGGAGGAGGGATAAACAGTACAGTTTGGTGGAGGAGGGATAAACAGTACAGTTTGGTGGAGGAGTGATAAACAGTAGAGTTTGGTGGAGGAGGGATAAACAGTAGAGTTTGGTGGAGGAGGGACAAACAGTACAGTTTGGTGGAGGAGTGATAAACAGTAGAGTTTGGTGGAGGAGTGATAAACAGTAGAGTTTGGTGGAGGAGTGATAAACAGTAGAGTTTGGTGGAGGAGGGATAAACAGTAGAGTTTGGTGGAGGAGGGATAAACAGTAGAGTTTGGTGGATGAGTGATAAACAGTAGAGTTTGGTGGAGGAGGGATAAACAGTAGAGTTTGGTGGAGGAGGGACAAACAGTAGAGTTTGGTGGAGGAGTGATAAACAGTACAGTTTGGTGGAGGAGGGATAAACAGTACAGTTTGGTGGAGGAGTGATAAACAGTACAGTTTGGTGGAGGAGGGATAAACAGTAGAGTTTGGTGGAGGAGGGATAAACAGTAGAGTTTGGTGGAGGAGTGATAAACAGTACAGTTTGGTGGAGGAGTGATAAACAGTACAGTTTGGTGGAGGAGTGATAAACAGTAGAGTTTGGTGGAGGAGGGATAAACAGTACAGTTTGGTGGAGGAGTGATAAACAGTACAGTTTGGTGGAGGAGTGATAAACAGTAGAGTTTGGTGGAGGAGGGATAAACAGTAGAGTTTGGTGGAGGAGTGATAAACAGTAGAGTTTGGTGGAGGAGTGATAAACAGTACAGTTTGGTGGAGGAGGGATAAACAGTACAGTTTGGTGGAGGAGTGATAAACAGTACAGTTTGGTGGAGGAGTGATAAACAGTACAGTTTGGTGGAGGAGTGATAAACAGTACAGTTTGGTGGAGGAGGGATAAACAGTAGAGTTTGGTGGAGGAGGGATAAACAGTAGAGTTTGGTGGAGGAGTGATAAACAGTACAGTTTGGTGGAGGAGTGATAAACAGTAGAGTTTGGTGGAGGAGGGATAAACAGTAGAGTTTGGTGGATGAGTGATAAACAGTAGAGTTTGGTGGAGGAGGGATAAACAGTACAGTTTGGTGGAGGAGTGATAAACAGTACAGTTTGGTGGAGGAGTGATAAACAGTAGAGTTTGGTGGAGGAGGGATAAACAGTAGAGTTTGGTGGAGGAGGGATAAACAGTACAGTTTGGTGGAGGAGTGATAAACAGTAGAGTTTGGTGGAGGAGTGATAAACAGTAGAGTTTGGTGGATGAGTGATAAACAGTAGAGTTTGGTGGAGGAGTGATAAACAGTAGAGTTTGGTGGAGGAGTGATAAACAGTAGAGTTTGGTGGAGGAGGGATAAACAGTACAGTTTGGTGGAGGAGTGATAAACAGTAGAGTTTGGTGGAGGAGGGATAAACAGTACAGTTTGGTGGAGGAGGGATAAACAGTAGAGTTTGGTGGAGGAGTGATAAACAGTAGAGTTTGGTGGAGGAGGGATAAACAAGCTATACACACACACACATATATATGCGTGTGTGTGACGGTCTGGTGTCCATACTTTTGGCCATACAGTGTACAATGTAGATTACAGTGTGGATTCAATTGTGCTTTCTGTGTGTTTAGAACCTCCCTGGACCTCCATCTACACAAAAAGCGACGTGAAGCTGAAGACAAAGAACACACTCCTCTGTCACGTGACTGACTTTTTCCCGCCGCCGGTCAGAGTGTCCTGGACCAAGAATGACCTGAACGTGACGGAGGGCGCGACCCTGAGCCCGTACTACCAGAACAGTGACGGGACGTTAAGCGTGTTCTCCACGCTGAGCTTCACTCCAGAGGAAGGAGATGTTTACAGCTGTACGGTGGAGCATCGCGCGCTGGAGCAGCCGCAGACCAGAATATGGGGTCAGGACTTTATTACAGTAAAGCCACAGTTCAGTCAACAAACACAAGTAGTCAGAATGAGCTTATAAATAATTGTATAAAAATGTGTAATACTGTAAATTACTGATAAACTGTCCTTGTTGCTCTGTTTAGAACTCACTCGCTTTACTCTTTTGCGTGTGTGTGTGTGTATGTGTGTGTCTGTGTGTGTGTGTGTGTGTGTGTATGTGTCTGTGTGTGTGTGTGTGTGTGTGTGTGTATGTATGTATGTGTCTGTGTGTGTGTGTGTGTGTCTGTGTGTGTGTGTGTGTGTGTGTGTGTATGTGTCTGTGTGTGTGTGTGTGTGTGTCTGTGTATGTGTCTGTGTGTGTGTGTGTGTGTGTGTGTATGTGTGTGTGTGTGTGTGTGTGTCTGTGTGTGTGTATGTGTCTGTGTGTGTGTGTGTGTGTGTGTGTGTATGTGTCTGTGTGTGTGTGTGTGTGTGTGTGTATGTATGTGTCTGTGTGGGTGTGTGTGTGTGTGTGTGTATGTGTCTGTGTGTGTGTGTGTGTGTGTCTGTGTATGTGTCTGTGTGTGTGTGTGTGTGTGTGTATGTATGTGTCTGTGTGTGTGTGTGTGTGTGTGTGTCTGTGTGTGTGTATGTGTCTGTGTGTGTGTGTGTGTGTGTCTGTGTGTGTGTGTGTGTGTGTGTGTGTGTATGTGTCTGTGTGTGTGTGTGTGTGTGTGTGTGTGTGTGTATGTGTCTGTGTGTGTGTGTGTGTGTGTGTGTCTGTGTATGTGTCTGTGTGTGTGTGTGTGTGTGTGTGTGTGTGTATGTGTCTGTGTGTGTGTGTGTGTGTATGTGTCTGTGTGTGTGTGTGTGTGTGTCTGTGTATGTGTCTGTGTGTGTGTGTGTGTGTATGTATGTGTCTGTGTGTGTGTGTGTGTGTGTGTGTCTGTGTGTGTGTGTGTGTGTCTGTGTGTGTGTGTGTGTGTGTGTGTGTGTGTGTGTGTGTAGATGTTCAGGTGGAGCAGTCGAGTGTGTTTCCCTCTGTGGTGTGTGTGGTGGGGGTGTGTCTCGGTGTGATCGGAGCAGCTGCTGGAATTTTCCTCATCTTCAGAGCGAATGCCCTCTGCAGCTGTGGACTGACTTAAACACCTGACACAAACACCCTAAACCCCTCAAACACCCTAAACACCTCACATAAACACCCTAAACACATCACATAAACACCCTAAACCCCCAAACACCCTAAACACCTCACATAAACACCCTAAACACATCACATAAACACCCTAAACACCTCATAAAATTATAAAAAAACACCTCACACACACCTTAAACACCTCAAACACCCTACACACCTTAAACACCTCACACAAACACCTTAAACACCTCACAAACACCCTAAACATCTCAGAGAAATACCATAAACACCTCACACACCCTAAACGCCTCAGACCAATATCATAAACGCCTCACACAAACATCATAAACACCTCACACAGACATCATAAGCACCTCGAACACCCTAAACACCTCACATAAACACCCTAAACATCTCATAGAAATATAATAAACACCACACACACATTATAAACAACTCAAACACCTTAAACACCTCACACAAACATCATAAACACCTCACAGAAACACCCTAAACACCTCGAACACCTCACATAAAGACTCTAATCATCAAAGACCAAAATACCATAAACAACTAACACACATTATAAACACCTCAAACACTCTAAACACCTCACACCCTAAACACCTCACACAAACACCCTAAACACCTCACACACCTTAAACACCTCATGCAAACACCCTCAACACCCCACACAAACACTCTAAACACCTCCTACACCCTAAACACCTCACACAAACACCCTAAACATCTCACACACCTTAAACACTTCATGCAAACACCCTAAACACCTCACACAAACACCCTAAACACCTCACACAATCATCCTGAAACATCATAAATATGTGGAACAAATATCCCAAAAATGTTTCCACTAATTATTGTATAATCCAAGACTACATACTATATATGTTTAATACTCTTTATTTTTAAACAGTGATGCAGAAACACGGACTGTGTGTTTAAGGTCAGCCTTCAGTAACTTTGAAATTCTGATGCTGCGCCCTGTGATTTACACACTGCTACAACAGTGCAAAGCAGCCTTATTCAAGTGAAAATTAAACACAATAAAGTTTTCACAAAAGGTTTTTACATTTATGTAAAATGTAATCATGTAACTAAACATGTGTGTTCCACAAATTAGCATATGTTGACATTAACTACAAATTTCTGCACATTTTCTACTTCTGCTGTAAAAATCAAAGCCTCTTGTGACCAAGGATTAAATTTAGTATGTTAAGAGAACAGTTTTATCTTAAAACCTAAAATAAATATAACACAAATAATTTATTGGCTACTGTTTTGTGTTCATCCTCCAGAGGTGTCAGATCAGATCAGGTTCTGTGGGATTTTACCATCACACTAAATTCAGCTGTTGTATGTGAATGTTAAAGCAGGAAGAGTCAAACAGATTAGAGGGGTTTATCACCCTCTAGTGGTAAAGAGCAGGAACTACTATCCTGGAAGTGCTCTATATTAGTGACGTCCACTAGAAGCACACAGTCTACACAACCTAAGACAGGTTAATCTAACACAAGCCAATGAAAACCCAAACATTACTATTATGATAATAAGACAATTTTTATGGTTTACCTTCAGTCACACCACCTGACTTGGACTCAAAAAACATTATTTTCAATATTCACAAAAAGGCCAACTGAAGGTCATTTAAAATGTTTCTTTTAAAAGCGTGTCAGAATAAAAGTCCTTTGTTTTCAGCCATGCTGTACCACATCTGAGGAAATCAAGATTTGCAGATGAAAGTTTGTTTGAGTTGAACAGGTTTGCAGTTGCTCTGTTGTGCAACATGTTGTGATTTTAAAGGTGTTTTATTTTGGATTCCATTTGCCTTTCCCGTATTTTTTCAGTTTACTTCATTTGCATATGCTGGACAGTCGCACCACCTGACTTGTTTTTAAAGGCATTAAGGCCTAAAATGAATTTTAATGCACTGAAAATGTGCCCTGTGATGGACTGGCGACCTGTCCAGGGTGTATCCTGCTTTCCGCCCAATGACAGCTGGGATAGGCTCCAGCACCCCACCGCGACCCAGAAGGATAAGCGGTTTAGATGATGCGAAAAGCTAATGTTAGCGGCTAACGCTATAACAGGAAACAGCAGTGATGTCCGTTATGAGGTGCGTCTGTGTATGCGGCCTCAGCAGCGTGTGAGGAGTGTGTATGACAGTCCAGCCAACGAGGAACGTCCCCACAACCTTGGCTAACATTACCTACACATTCTACCAACGTTTTAAAGGAAACGTTTTAATCTAATCATCAAAGAAAATTGTAAGGACGTTTATCATTTCAAATAATGTTCCTAAAGTTAAATGTAAACTTAGACACAACATTTTAGGGCCACATTCGGAGGATGTTTTGGAGACGCTGACAGAGTGTTTATAAACGTTCCTGTAATGTGATCTGTCAACAGAGGTAGAACATTGGAACACTCTGAGGATGTTTTGGGGATGTTGTTCAGGTAACAGGTAACATTCTGGGAACGAAAAAATATTAATAGAGCATTGCATGGTAATATTCTCAGAATGGCTTTAGAACAAAAAATTTCCAGCTGGGAAACATTTATTAAACTTTTCCTGGGTTAG